TGTCGTACCCCGCGCCGCCGCTAGCGGCAGCCAGCCGCTCCGCTGCATCCGACTCCAGCATGCTCGTACGAACCGGCTGAACTGCCGCCGCCGCCGCCACTGCCGACGCGTCGGCGGCGCCGTCGCCGCCAGCGGCCGCTCGTACCCCCTGCCACTGCGCTTCGTACGACGTTAGCCACGTCAGGAATTGAAACCCCAGTTCCTGATACACAGCGCCGTTCCGGCGCCCCATCGCGCCAAAGACGCCGCCGTACGACAGAATCGGCGCGGCGCACGCCCAGGAAGTCGACCCGTGAATGGAGGTGGGAATGGGCGCCCGGCACGCATCCGCCGCCGCCGGCACCAGCTTGCCCGTGCGCCTGTCCAACACACGAGTACTGCCAGGCGGCGGCGCCACTCCTACGACACCGCGGACCAAGGAACCTTGGCTGCCGCCGCCGCCGCCGCCTTCGCTGCTTCCATTCCCCTGCAGCGGTTGCTGTTGCTGTAGGACGCGGAAACTGCGACCCAGATCGAGCGTTACAACGCACTCGCCGGCGGCGAATCGCAGCAACGGTTGGCCGCAGGCCAGCTCCTGAGCCCCGGCGGCCGCCATCGCCTTGAGGTTGGCCAGCGCGAGCTCCATGGCACTGCCGTTCAGCAGCTGTACGGCAGCAGCCTCGGAGTACGACTCGGACGAGTCAAGCGCCACCGCCCAGCCTGTACGTGGTCCCCAGCGCTGTGTTATGGATGCCAGGATTGCGGAGAGAAGCCAGATGGTGGTGCTGCAGTTTGGGGCGGTGCTCACGCACAGGGCGTACTGCGGCGCGGGAAGCGCCTCCGCCGCGGCGCCTGCTACTGCCGCCGCCGCCGCCGTCGACGCGTTCCAGTCCGCTGCCAGTTGTAGCAAACCCTCCCAGGAGGTTGGTACATCGCGTCCCAGCGCCGCCAGCGTATCACGGCGATAGTACATTAGAAGCGCGTCGCTGTGTGTTTGCGGGAAGGGGGAGAGAGAGAGACCAGCGGGTCACGGGGATATTACTGCCAGCAACAACCCGGAGGAAGCTTCGAGAAGCGGGGAAATTCTCAAGCTTGTGCCGTCTTGGCAAAGAAGGAAATCTGCACGCGACGGCCCCAGCCGGTGACGTGAAAACGGAAAGGAGTGGTGCGCGTGCGGGGGGTGGAGTGGGGTGGGGAGGATGCGAGGGGGACGGGGGGGGGGAGGGAAAAGGAGTGGTGCGCGCTGTGGTGATGGAGAGAGGGGGTATGTCGGTGAGCTTTAGCTGAAGGTGGCGATGCGGGGTGTTGGGCCGCAGAGGTGCGAGCGGTGTGGTGTGCTTTAGTGGGGAATCGTTAGCGGCGAGCCGATGCTGAGTGGCCGCTTCGCGCGTGTGTGTGGGGGGGAAGGTAGCCGGCGAGTAAGCTGATGCCAAGGGCGCGGGTGTGGGGGAATTCGTTTGCCCCGCCCAGCGCCTAGCGGACCAAGCTTCCCTTGAGCGAATGGACATGATAAACCCGGGAGATGCGACCGCGACCATCGTTACCCCCTGTCACCTGGAGATTGGCATAGCGATAGTCTTGGCGTCAGCAGCGGAAAGATTCGCCCACAGCGGGTGGAACCCATCCCACCCGACATCAGGGCTGTCGTTAATTTTTTGCTCCAGCGGCAGCAGCGCCCTTTTGTAATTCAGAAACGGTATGCTGGCGCCGTCAACTATCCATAAGTCTTGTTGTGCCCATCCCGTCAGCTGTGAGTCAATGGTCGACGGTATACTGCCCGGATCCACATAGGTCACATTCACCGGTGTGCTGATTTGCCGTTCAAATTGTACAGCTTGCTGTGTGACCCATGATTTGAGAGTTGTGGGCGCAAGGACCCGCAGGGGCCTGCTGCAACACTGCGCCCGATATGTTGACAGTACCCGGTCATACGATGGAGAGCTGCTATTGCATTGCAGTTCCAGTTCCTGAATCACATCGCTCATACACTGGCCATTTCCATCGGCAGCTGCCGCTGAAGCCCTGACGACAACCAAGATACAAATCAATGGAAGCAAGTGTGACAGCATAACGCCAGATCCTCTTCCTACCACCGGTTCTTGCCGGGGTTCTGCAGTGCTAAGCCAGACATGTTGAGTAAGCGCGGCGACTCTCAGGTCAGCCAATGTCCCCTGTTCCCGTTTTCGTTAAGTTCCTTGCACATATGTCGCGTTTTTAGCATTCTCAGTCATTTCAGCATACAACCAGGGCATTCCGAGCCAGAAGTTGAGTCCTGTACAGCGCGCTGCAGTGAGGTATATACCGTACATTGTAAGTGTAATCGTTCGCTCACAATGCGATGCGTGCAAAAATGGATTGCGTAGAGAATAACAAACAAGCAGTATCAGATTCCTCTATTGGCTCCTCCTTGCGATCGCCTTGTCGTAGCCCTCCAACAGGATTCGGGTGAGGGCACAGCACGCTTCTTTACCCTGCAAAACGTTTTCGACTCGCTCTTCGAATATGTATTGGAGTGCTTAAGTCTGCAAAGTATACTCGCTGCCTAGGCTCCAGGTGTACCCGCAGTACAAGTTTGCTCGCATTGCGAAACTGGTTTCCACGAGGATAAAATTCAATTTAAGTCCATCAGGGTCATCAGTTGCGCCAGTTCCCAATAGACTTCTATCTGAGGTTCAATGCAAGGCAGTACGGAAAAGGGTGATGCCCTTCTGCCTGGCAGAGACGATTTACAAAGAGCATGAAACTTATAATGCCGACACCGTGCACTATCCTACGTTCCAACGATGCTGTGATACCTAGAGGGCATTCACGCTGCGGTAGTTCTGGCTTCGACGGAGAGTCCATAACGTGGCGTCCTGGATAGCTTGTTAACAGAGCTTGAGTCTGGAGATGAGATGGAGTGACTACGTGCGTGCCGGCCCTCTTCTTCCACACTACTGTCTTATTTCCCATCCCCAATTGACGACGCGTCCAGCTCCTGATGCCCGCTCACAGATTGGGAGTGTAGGGGCCCGGGTAGAGTAGAGGAAGGGGGCAGAACAGGACGGTGCAGAGCAGAACGGTGCAGTGCGTCGCCGCCGGCGGGGCTGTTCATCAGGAAGCCCCTGGATGTCCTCCCAACCCCTACCCACGGCGGTGATCACACCGCGTTGCACAACTCGAGACCTCGACCAAAGGAAGCTACTCCAAAAGGGCTACCCCCTTCAAGAAGCACTCGAAATGGATACATATATTCCTAAAGCGTCCGGAAAGGACGCCTAAAGGACTGCAGCACTAAATCCGCATTGTTCTAGTGATCCTAAGCTGCAGGAAAGGACCGCATGAAATTTATAGAGCTTCTGCCCAAAGTACATTTTGCGGCATTTGGCGAGGCTAAGCTATTTGATCAGGTCTGGCATACGTACGAGGTTTCAACCTTGATTGTGTACGAGGCTGCTGTACGGGCTTCGCCTTTGCCGAACGTCAGTTGCTTTCTGATGTTATTAACTAGGTTGTGTTTGACATCTGGTGCCAGTTTTAAGGTATACGGACGGCTTGTGCGCGGCCTGAGTGGACGGTGTGGGCACACCGCGTCCCTGCTCCTCGCGGTGTCAGGCGTGTTTTAATCCCGTTGTCCTGGCGTCGTGGGGATGTCCTCGCGTGTGTGTCTGTCCGCGGAATATGTGCGCATTAGGTTAGGAAGCTTAGAAAGCCTGTCCAAACTCCGGAAGGGAAGGAGTTGGCGGGAGTTGGCGCTCTGGGCAGGGTCGTCTTAGGCGTCTTGGCAGAGCGCAACTAGCCAAGATTATAGTTGCGAAGGGGCGGCCGGCAACGTACCTTAGCAGACAGCCGCGGGGTCTGTTTACCCTTTTTTGTACTATTGTGCCTTTCCAGCGGGGACAAGGCACAGCTTATCGTTGTTGTGGGGTTTGCAGTTAGGTTTTGGGGGCCGTTCTTCTTGCCAATTTTGTTCGCAATTCGTAGATGTTCGCGAAGTGCGTGCCAAGATTACATACATGCTGCGAAAGCTAGGGTAACCAATTTGCTTACGTGCTCCCCCATGCGCATAGCTCGTGTACATGTTGATTACGACGTAACTCCTGCTGCATAGATCGCGCCAAAGTGTACAGTTCAAACTGTGTTGGCCCTCCATGGGAAATTAGGACCTCCGAGGGAAACTATCATTCACGTCCAATACGCTGCTAAACTTTCCAATATTCTGACGGCGCTCACCTGTTACTAGGGCTCCCTCAAGGTGACCAAAATTAAAGTATGTCTCTCGAAGACACGGCTGAAATTCTTCAGGAGCTATGTTGTTTTATTCTTGATGAATTGAAGGTTAGCTAAACGGTCGGCGAATGCCTTATACCTTCCGGTTCAAGCATCGCAACTTGTCCATGGCAGCTGCCAACGCTGTGTATGTGGAATACGTTCGCAGGTGTTATCTTACAAATGGGTAGCGCGACATTATTCATTATCTGCCAATACCGCCAAGCGGTAAACCAACGGGAGCATGATGCAAGGTGCTTACTGCAAAAAAAAACATGGAACTTTATTGCTTCCAGGGTATTGTTCCAACTTGCTGAACAGCAGCGCGATAAAGTCCGTCCCGTATACCTGGTCTCCGGTTGGACGCGGCAAGAAACACCCAGTCATGTGCACCAGCTCGTGGAAGCTACGCAACTCCAAGGTGCGACATAGACGCGTCGTCCGGGTTACACCACGCCCCTTCCCCTTCCGCCCTTCCTCATTCTCCCTCCCACATGCGACGTGGAGCACTGTACCTCCATACCACCTGCCCCGAGGACCAACCGTCTGTTCACGATACCCCGTTTTCCCCCTTCCTTCCCTCCTCGCGGTGCGATTCCCCCTTCTTCCTGCTGCCTGTGCTTGTACTAGGTAGACACCAACCCCCGGGTACGGCCCCCCATTCCCTGCTCCCTGGACTGTGAAGCCCGGGGAGCACACCCCCGCGACAACACATACCCTCTCCACCACTTATCTTACACAGCCCACCCCCCTCCCACACACACACACACACACCGCCCTCTCCCCGACCCCCTTTTAACCCCCCTCCCGGCCCCCCTCTCCGCCCCCCTCCCTAACCCCCTCCCCAACCCCCTTCCTTGCTTCGCAGCCTTCCGGGAGTCCTTGGCCGACGTCACCGGTATGCATGTGTACAGGTAGGTACGGCAAGAGTACGAGCCGACTGTGACGCCAAATGTGAGTAGGAGGAACCCTAAGAAACCACAACCTGTTCTATAATATTAGCTCTTCTCGCAACAGCGACCAGGAAGGAAGCCACTTCAGGAGATACCTGCCGCCGCAACAGGCAAATCCAGTAGCGTCGTACTCATTCCGTACATTCTTCCACTGAACCGCATGTATATCCCCCTGCCTCAGCGTCGCTCCTAGTCAGGTTACAAATCCGGACAGTTTATGGCAGACCACTTTCCAGCAGTCTCAACAGTTGCTCAAGGAGATCCTGTCAGGACAGCAGCCCAGCGCCTCAGCGGAGGGGTTTCGGAGCAACAGCTGCTCCGCCGTACGATTCCTGGCGCCCCCGCCGCCGCTGCAGCAGCAGCAGCGCCCAGCGGCTGCGCCAGCGGCAGCCGCGGCCAAGGCAGCAGCACCTGCCAAGGCAGCGGGGCCGGGACAGCTGAAAACAGGGTCCGAAGGTATGTAGGTCCGAACCGAGGGGCGAACCGAGACGAACTACTGCCGAGCGAAGCAGCTACCATTAGAGGGGGGCTTGAGGGGGGCCGTCTGGTCTGTAGGGTGAAGGTGGAGGTCGTGTAAGCCGCGCCAGAGGGGTTGTGGTGGTCGTCGCCCACCAAGCGCAATACCGCACATTCCAGCCGACGAACACGGGAAGCCGAGCACGGGGGCCACGCTGCCACCGGACTGCCGCCGGACTGCCGGCCGGAGGAGGGCCTCCTCTACTTCTGTGATTATTACCGTTGTGTTGTAGTTGTTAGTATACGGCTACTATCGCTCTGTCATGCTAACCTCGATGTATGTCCTGCTACTCCATCTTGTCCCGTGTCCTGCTACTCCCCAGCAGCTCATCCCCATCCTGCAGCAGCCGGCAGCTGCCCACCGAAGGCCGCCACCGAAGCCGCTGCTGGTGCACAACCTACTCCGCTAAAGGCCGCGGGGCCAGCAGCAGCGGCAGCTGCGGCGGCGGCGGAGGCGGCGGGCCCCTCGCCGCCCAAAGCGGCCGCGCCGGCAGCAGCGGCAGGCAAAGCGGCCGGCAAGGGGGCCGCCGCTGCGAAATCCAACACGCTGGCTAGCATGTGGAGCAAAGGCGCCGCTGGGAGGCCCGCTGCTGCTGCGCCCGCTGCTCCTGCTGCTGCTGCTCCTGCGGCGGCGGCGGCGGCTGCACACCCGGCGCCGCTGCCCAGTGCTGAGGCGGCGGCAGTGCAGGAGGAGGAGGAGAAGGATGTTGAGGAAGAAGAGCCGTTGGTGCGCGTGCCCAAGGCAGGGGGCAGCGCCCGGGGTCGCAAGCGGCGCGGGGCGCAGATTGAGGACAGCGAAGATGAGGCCGCCGCCGGCGATGGTGAGGCGCAGGCGGCGGAAGCGGTTGGGAAAGCTACGGGCTCGGGGTCGGGGTCGGGGGAGGCGCCGGGGATGGCGCAGGACGCGCCTGGCAGCCAGCTCCAGCCCCACGCCCAACCGCAGTCACAGCCGCAGTCTCAACCCGCGGGTCAAGCGCGGGGGGGCCGAGGCGGCAGCAAGGCTAAGGGCGGCGCAGGCAAGGTGAGGCCGTTCATGCGGGATGGTCCATTTTGATGGTCCACTTTTGCGGGGTAGAGGTCTAGCTATGGGTCGTGGCTATGGGCGCGCATACTTGAGTTCGTTCAGCAGTAGAAGCAAGGGCAAGGGCGTGGTGAGGCGATCGGGGCTCGGGGGCTGAGGGGTCTCGCCCATGTGACTTGGTGAGGAGAGCGAAGGGGGCGCAGGCAAGGTGCGACGCAGCCAAGGGGGAGAGCCCCGAAAGGGGGGGATTACTGGAGCGTGGTGGGGTGGAGGTGGAGGTGGAGGTGGGGTGCAAAAGCTTCCGCAATATCAGAAACCAGGAGGGGTGGGG